CTTCTCGACTGGTACCTCCGCTTATGGACTTTTTTATCGTCGATTCTGCATTGAAGATACGGCTCGAAGAAGAGCAGGGTCAGCTTCAGCGGTCAATTGCATGGCTGACCGCTGAATACGATATATTACTCCAGTGCTGCAATGATCAGGCTCTGGAACTATTTGGCCGCCGTCAAGCCGCGGCTGCCCTCAATGATAGGAATGTCGAGGTTTTGAAGGCAAGCGAGAAACGCGCTTATAGGATGATCGAGATGAACTAGTCATGGGATCCCAGCCGAGTTGAATGCTAAATTCCTGATCCACTGTGTATGCATCTGCTTTACTACCTTTGTTTCGTAGGACTGATCATTTTGTCATTGTCAACATCACCGCGCCTGGTTATGTGCGCCAGTTCTCACCTAACAAGGCGATAGCGTCAGAACAAATGCGGCTCAGCTCTCACCCTCCAGCTTTTGATTGCACTCAAAGTCCAACGGAAAGAGAACAGGAACGGCCGTTAGAGTGATATTCATTCGACTTAGGAATTGGAATCATTGTATAATTGTGATTCTTTCCCCCCTGCGGTACAGGATGGCTGACCACACTTGGCTTCATCCTCGCGACACTATACAGACGAGTCCCAGTCGCTTTTTCGTCTTCTTGGCAAAAATAATGATGGCTACTTTTTTCTGCGCCTGTCAACCGAGCACAAAGTGCTGCCTTGCATGGAGGAGAAGCAGGAATATAGTTAACATTGAATCCTGGCCATCTCATCCAGTTTCCCCAAATACCTTCGACCATCGAATGTCTATTGTACTACCGCCATCTATCCACGAGCTCTTCTTTATTCATTGAGCTTTGACCCGAGACCGTCAGAATAGCGATTCCATTCCTTGAGTATTTCAGTCAACCGGTGTCGAGATGACTCCAGCGCCTGGTCAAAGAAATGCAACCGAGCGAGCTGATCATCATGGCTTGACTGCATTTTGTTCTTCTCGTTCATCAGCTTTTGTTGGGTCTCCCTCAGGCCATCATTTGCTTTGGCCACTTTCTTCCCCTCCATGTGCTTTGCCATGCATGACTCCCACAGGCGCCGATACAGTCCGACGAGTCTTGCGGCTTGGAACGCAAGCTTCGGGTCCTCACGTTCGAGCCGCGCGAGGGCCTCCATCGCAGGTGCAAATGGCTGGTCCGTCAAGGAAGGTCTCTCTGTATCATCGGGCTGTTGGTCACGAGTCAGCTAATCCTATATATGCTTGTTCTGGTCCTACTCACGTTTACTGGGCCGGATGGTAGATCGACTTCAATCTGCGGGCGCTGTTCCATGTGAATGAGAGGTTCGCCGGCTGGAGGACGGCTATCTGCGGGCTGAATCTCGGGTTGCTCTTCGGCTGCATTGATATTAGAGGTGTCCATGCTGAGTCGTGTGTGTGGTTTCTGGTCGAGAATGGTGCTTGGGAAGCTTCATGATGTTGCAGGATTTATAACTTTTCGATGTACGTTCCGATAAATCAATATGAACAACTTAAAAACGGTGATTGCGGTTTGCCAACGTTCAATCACCGGACCAGAGCCCCAGAGAAACCATTTTCCCTCTTAGACGATGCAGCTACTAAACGGTTAGTTGATTCAACGTTTCCCGGTTCAAGCCTCTTAGAATGCGGATTGCTTGCAGTATTTAAACGGTACGTCATTGTCTAATCTGGTCATAGCTACGTTCAGGGCCTTATCTTGCTGGCTTGCCTTCATATCTCCCAACCTTCCCAGGGTCCCGACATTTGTTCCTGCGGAGGCTTCTCAATCTTTCCATCAGCTAAATGAACCTACAACTTGACAAAACATGCTTGTGGATGCAAAGCGGTGGAAACTACAGCAGTGGTAAGTCATTATGATCTCCTCTGCTCAGATGGTTGGTTGAAGCAAATAACTGAATAAGCTACACAGAGTGGCACCTTCCTGGCACTCCACGAGACTCCTTCCGTCAGTGGCCTGGTTTCCAAGCCGATTATAGGCAATTTCCACTAGACTGGAGTTAGGTTCAAAACACTTGCTGGGCCGACATGGAATCTTCTTCCTATGCGCCTGTCCAGCAAGATCATGTTCATAGTTTGGACTGGTTTCAATATGGATCTGACCTCGAGTCTGAGGTCAAGTTCATCGCGAGGAATCCCACTGTCGAACCATTCAGTGTTACTAAGTTGATGATAAGTGAAAACACGCCTGCCGGAACACCCAATGGCGGTTGGAGGAAGACGTCCTGGCCAGACTTTGAGGAGCTCACACGCCTCGTCTGCGGCGACCGCGAGCACTTCAGCCACACCCGCGGCGGCATACCACGGCCATTCCCCCGGCGGCAATTCAAATGCACCGTTGCAAGGTGCAGTAGTCGCTTTCGATATCTCAAAGGCCTACAGCTTCATCTGTCCAGCCACCTGTCTGAGAGGTCATACGTCTGCTGGGTTCCGGAGTGCCAGTGCCGCTTCACCCGTAGCGACAACCTCAAAGCCCATTATGCAACGCATGGTAGACCGGGAGGCCGCAATCGCTACGTGGCTACTCTAGATCGGACTAGCTCAGCCTACGATCCTTGTTTTCGTGGATGGCTGACGTCCGATGGGTGGCCAGTCACGGAGGGAAACGCAGGCTCGTCCGATATGTAAATTAGAACTGGCTCGAAGAGCGCGGTGACCACAAAAGAGAGTTAGAGAAAAGGCGGAAAGCTGTGGAGACAACGCGCTCCATGCGCGACGCGTACCTCTCCTGGGCGAACTTTGTTTATGCCGACATGAGTGATGGGACGGGCGAAAGCTAATAGACTGAGTTTGGGACAGCGTTTGGAAAGAACGGTGCCCGGAGGATTCGAACACCTGGTCTCGGGAACGCAGCTACCGAATTACCACTGGGCCAAAAAGCAAGCCACAATAGTCTTCATTTATTTCTTGGCAAAACAAGGTTGTTCATTATTGAAACATGACTTCCCTAAGTTTTCCGCAGCTTCAGATATTTTTGGGCCCTTCTCCGCTCTCAATCCGGATAGAAAGTTGCTCCAATAAGCAAATTTGATACACGGGATGGCTTTGCTAAATAATATTCCACTTGCGATCATTCCATGTGCTGTGACTTGTTTTTAAGTAGCGATTGATCATTATATATTTTGCCCGTCCAGCGCTAAAAAAGTTCCTATCGTCTGGCGTAGGAAAAACCACTACACCACAAATGACCTGCAAATAAGGCAACAATCGGAAAAGACTCAGGATCTGTCGAGTTGCCATGAGAAAAATAATGGATACCTCGGTCTGAGTAAACGTTCTTTCATGCCTCAATTATAGGAGGAAGTGCGACCGCATTTTGATACCTACGCGCCCGCATGGGCAGATTCGTGACTCGCGATGCGTTTAGTAAGTCCGTTCCTTGCGAGTGGTCGATTATCTGGTGTGGTAGCGGAGGCAAGGATGATGTGGGCATCATGTATATTGAACATTGAATATCAGTAATATCACATAACTGCAACAGTGATGTTGTGGGTGCGGTCGTTGAGTCAACGCCGCGGTCAGAACAGAAGCTCTGTGGAAGAACGGTTGCCAGAATTGGTTCCGACCATAGCTCATGGTTGAACTCACGGTCACCGTTGATTCAAGGAAAATACGAATGACCTCACAGACTGTCAACATCAATCTGTCTTAATCTGCCTGCGTTGAAAAGCGTGTACTACACATTCGGGTACTGAAAAGAGCATATCACCCTAGAGCACGCGGCGACTTGAGCCATGTAGAAAAGTGATGGCAGAAAAAGCAGAATGTACCATCGAGAATGCACAGCTTCACGTATTTTTTCAATTGGAAACCTACATTGAATGCGTCACAGATTTCGTAGCTCTTACCATTTCGCACTGTTTATTTTGTTGAATCCGCGAGTGAACGACGACTAGGGCGGCGATAGATGATTACCGTTAGCATCCACTTCACCGCTCGGGAGTTGCGCCGCACCACATCAACAACGGGACTCACTGGTGCGGCCTGGTCATCATCAGTGTCCACCCTCGATACTCACTCACCTCTAGCCCTCACCACATCATACTGTACTGCCAATTAGCATCAAGCCTCCCCTTCGATCCTCACCCTCAACACGTGCCATCCATCCTCGATGCCCGCAATTCTCGCAACCCACCACAGACAAACAACTCCTGCCGTCACCGCTAGTCAGTCTCTGGACAAGCCTCCACACCAATGGAGACTACTCGAGTTGCATCACCCAGATCGGCCCACGCTATCATGCACCGGATAATAATCGCCCAATAATCCAATATACTTTCTACATGGCATTCCATGGCAGAGAATGCCCATCCTCGAAGCACCGGGCGTGTTTGAAGGCGACCAAGTACCCTACGCGAAGAAGGAATACGAATAGTGAACTCTACGAACAAGCACAACTATATAACACACAACGCTCTTGAGCAGATTCTTCATTTATATGGATTCTTTGGAGCAGGTCTTGGCTTCTTCGAGACCATCTCCATCACTGCAAGAGCTATCTTCTAGCGTGGAAAATAGCCCTCCTAATACGATTGAAGCGCTCGAGAGGAATCACGCGAAGATATTAAGGGATATCGCTATCAATTCAGAGAAAACTTTTACGCTCGAGGCCGGCCTACGCTACATGATTCAAGGCTTCATCAGAAGCGTACATGCCCAGTAAACTCTCAGCCTTAGACCGTAACACAGAGCAGAGGTCTACAGCACGAATAACTGGCCTGCTCACCCATCTGATCTGAGGACCATCTCGCAAAGCGATCGTACTATTCAGGAGGATGGCAGATCAGCGCATCATCTGCACCTAATGAGTTGCCTGACGCCCTTGCAAGTCTTTCCACACCCTAAGAATGTAAACAAAACGCTCCCTCCTTATGTCTGTGCAGCTATAACAGAATTAAAACAGGTTTTCTCATACGTCTAACTTAGACTCTAAGCCAGTCAGTGATGAAGCCAATGAGGGCCGGGGCGAAAATGTGCACTCAGTCATATCTAGGCCTTTTCTCCTCGCAGCTTTTCAGACTTTTTGGCACCCAGTGTGGGAGTGGAAGTAGCGGCTTTGTCCGGGTTCCTCCTTGGCTGGCATGGTATGAAGCCATGTGATAAGTCAACGGCCGGTGCTGCAAAGTCGCTGTAGGCAGGTGTCACGGCATGTTCTCTAAGGCCATGCATAGAAATACGAGATAGCGGCAGTAGACTGGTTAGCTGCGGATGTGGGAGGGACTCCGCATGGTGCACATCTTGCCCGCTAGAATATGATCTCCCACAGTCCTTATCGTCGGTGGTGCATGCTTTGAAGTTTTGTGGGTGGTAGGAGGATGATGTGGTTGGGCATTTGACTGGCGTTAAGAATTGGCGCTTTCGTATCAATGGGTCTGACCGAACCTTTCGGTTTGCCAGCACTCGAGGAGTCTGAAGTTGGAATTGGCTATCCCCGAACTCTAGTTGATTCGCCAGAGGCTCTCGGGGTAGTTGCGATGATAGCAAAAAGTCAAATGAGCGTATAAAAACACCAAAAGGGACTAGTTGGCACATCTTCTGGTATCTGACATGAAGCGTTTTCCACACTTCCATATTGAGCGGGCTTCGGAGGAATGCGACGAGTGCTGTGGAAGGTTCGCGAGGTGAGGCATTGAAATGGGACGTGACGGGCCCGGGGGAAGGATTGCAAGACGGAGGATCGAAATGCCAAACTATAATGGATAGTTTAAGGCGAGTGGCATAACTGAGGCCTAGCACGATTTCTCTCGAATAATGCTCTATGAGCTCAGTGTAAAGATAAAGAGCGTAACCTTCCATCTCGATGCAGCTCGGTGGCTGTTGTAGCCCGCTCTGTAGATCCTGGCACCTGTCCAGGATCACACTAGCATCTTGACTAAGAGAGTTCTGGCGAATGATAGCGAGAGTTGGAAGATGGTTCCTTAGTTCTAATAACACTTTAACAGCTATCTTTGCTGCCTCGTATAGAATCTCATCAGGTAGGGGGGAGGGCTTTGTTATATCAGAATCTGGTCACAATTAATCGGATTTTGCACTAACCATGCCGGGTCGTGTTAACCACATCTGTTGTTTTCCTTCAAGCCCAGAATCTTGCTTCGTCGACTCCTGAAGGACGTGCTGGCCCTTATCCTCAATTTGTGATTGCCGCCCACCATGATGAGTGTACTCGCCGCGCTGATAACCCAAAGGATACATCACGTAGTCCTGGTACAGCGAGGCGACTTGGAATAAGATTACAGTGGACCGTTTACAAGAATCAGAGAGGAGAAGAAAATATAGGAGTTAGTGCCGTCCGGAAAGTGAAAGTTTGGAACAAATTGTACAGGAGATAGGATCGGAAGTTCACAGAAAGGGGAAGGGGTCTCTTTATTACCATGAGTGTTGAAGGCCATGAACTTCGTTCCGGAAGCGGAATAGCGTAGGATACATACCCTACGAAGCCTGTTCCAATTTATGATTTGTCACCTTATGCCGATACTCTTATTACTACTATACGAATGACACCAGTGATGCGCAGCCGAATCCCAAAGATCCACGAGGTAGGGAAGTGTGTTCTGGATATTTCAGTCCTAATGTGGCGATGATGAGGGCCAGACATATACTTCGTCCCCGGAGATAGAAGGTAAGTCAATAAGTGTGGTTTGTGGGTTACTGTAAGCTATTCCTTGTGTCAAAGAAAAAAGATGGGCAATGAAAAGGAGAGGGGTTTTTACAGCAAGGCAGCCAAAGACACAGTCGGAGCCATGCATGAATCCCAATGTGATAAGAATGTAGCCCCTGTAGTCGACCAAATGATCTGTACAAAACTGACTCAGATCGGCTGATTCGCCTGTTCTAGGCTAGTGGGCGTAGTAGGTCAGTGCCTGACCATCGGGGAGTAATCACGCCAAGGGAACTGAGAAACGACAGATGTGCATACGGCGAGGGCCCGACCTTGACTTCCTGAACAGGAATGGTTGAGATCACCTACCCTCCTCTACACATAAAAAAGAAAGACTGTTTATTGAGAAAGTCTGCTTTACATTCTATCGTCCGGGTATTTTATCTTAATTCCGGCCTTAGAGCCAGATGTTTCGTTGGCTGAGCTATTAATATTTTACAGGCGTTCAGAGAAGGGAATAAACCTTTCATAGTGCGTTGGCATTGTATCTACATTTTTACTCGTCAAACGATCCAGTCGTGGCTCGGTTCTGTTATGTCGTCACCTGCTATGTTTTGGGCTGCGTAATCAACTTAGCACGTATTTTGAACTGGTGAGCACAATGAACACAAATTGCTAAATAAGTTTCGTGAACTGAGGGGCCGAGTAGTAAATTCACAGGAAAACTAAATACCGAAAGACGCAATGAAGAAGTGTTTTGACGTATATTAGAAACTTTGGCTAGAGTACTCGGCCATATTTTCAATCTTATGGTGGCAGAATATCACTCTGCATGGTCAGGCGCGTACAAAAGAGGACTCGAGTGACTTGCTGTTAAGCCCACCAAAACTCTCCGCAATTAGCGCGTAGTTAGATGCGTACTTGGTAATTTCGAACTTGCGGTTGTTGTATGCTATCCAATCACCGACCTGAAGACCAGATCCGTTAGCTTCGTTGATCCTGAGAAGTACCATACATGGACAGGGGACCTGGAAACATTTGCTACTAACCGTTGCAATTTGCACCCCCAGCCAGAGGCACCTGTGCCTGCGAAGGATAGTAATCGACCGCTGTTCAATACCGTATCTCTCAGCCTCAGGGGGGGCATCGTTGAAAAAGTTGCTGGGGAAATAGTGTTGGCTCCACGATTGACCACGAATTATAAAGTCCTCGGGTAGTTGGCACGCGACCCCATCGTGCAGTGGGAAAGCTCTATCTTCCACCTTGCCGAACTTGGTCTCGGGACCAACAAGGGAGTTCAGGAACCTCACAATCTTGGCCCAAGGAATGACTTTGTAAACTTGCTGCATAGTGGCCGGATGTGCTGCTAGGCTCCATACGAACGACATTGAGATATGTGCACCTGCGTAGGTCTTAGGATTATGGTTGTCGAGCAAAACAGAGAGTGTGTGAAAGGTGAGAGCACTGCCTCGTGCCATCATGGGCGGGAGATGGACGCTTAGGTCTGTTGGTTCTCCGTCCTTCTTGGTGCGGTTCTTCCTGTCCAAGGTTGGCCTCAAGTTGGGTGAAATTTTGCAGGGGGCCACAACCGAAACATACTCTTTTTTCCCAAACTTTATCGCCATGATAGCTTTCGGGTCGCCGTACTGAAGCAGAGACGCAAAATTGCACGACATAATGTACACTCCTGTTTGACCGTCATAGCCCTCGCTGCGAAGTTCCTCTCTCAAGAGGGACAAGAAATGATTCGCCAAAGTAATGAATTGATCGGAAGGCGTTTCGTTGAGCAAGGCAGCATGAGTGGCGATAAAGGCAGCAGGTATTGTATCTTGATCCAAGGCGTCCTGTGCATTATACGGGCTCAAAAGGCGAATCATACTCTCCCGTGATTTGGCAAAAGGACGTACACTCACAAGCGCCTTAGTGTGGTGAAAAAGCTGCTGAAGTAGGCCAGGCCGCGCCAACACAGCGAGATGATGCTGAATACGGCCTTCTTCGGGGCTACGATCAGCGACTACGTTGTACCAATGTCGCGAGACTCCAGCCCAAACATCCCGGACTCTCTTGTCGGACTCTTCGATAGCCATGCGATATCGCGCTAGATCTCCTAGGCACTCGATCCAGATCTCACAATATTTCTCGACGCGTTCAAGCAATTGCGTCATCATCGTGTAGACGAGGTAGAAGAACGCAAGCATATATTCCTGGGAACCTGGGAGCTGTTTTCGAAGAAGCTCCAAGAGTGAGTGAATGCCATGAAACCACAATCGCGCGGGCAGATCATTACTCTTAGGAAGCTCTTTCAACTCGTTATCGGCAGAAGGGTGTTGCGATGCAAGATAGAGGTCGACATGCTTATAGACCAAAGTTCGATGCAAGGATATCATCTCTTGCCACTGCTTGTTCGACGGGTCGGATCCGATGTATTTATTGACCAGCTCAATGCATTTTGCCTCGATCTTGGTCAGACTGGCAAAAATCCTGTTCACTTCAAGAATGAGCCCATCACCGAGGACGGGCTTGGTCTCCGGTTGCTTGAACAATGTCGTTGATTCCAAGTATTGTGGTTCAGCTGAATAAATATCAGAGTCGGATACACATCCCCCATCTTCATCTTCTGAGATATGTGGGGTTAGTGGTTTATCAATCTCTATGTCTTGAGCATCCATTTCCGTCCAGGTAGAATTCGGGATTTGTGCGGAGGTCTTGATTTGATAATGGGTATGTCTTTCGGCTTTCTGTACTGCCCTGTATTAGCTGGATATACGCGCTCAAAAATCTTACGGCAACGCAAAGGATTTCTTTCGAAGCAGAATGTCGAGTCCATAGCCAGCCAAGGATGGGCATTGAGTGAACTAATAAGAAATGTCCGAAGCGGGCAAAAGGGCTCAACGGGGCGTGAACTGACTGGAGTGGTTGTATATTCTGTCTCAGTGGTATGAGTAACTCGGAAGCTGTGAAAGGATGATGGTGGCTTATCTTCTGGCCTGGGATGGTTTTTCGGCTGGTGGATATTGGGGCGAACACTGGGGCGGACATTGAGGGAAATAGTGGGTAATATATACAAAGGTGAGATGGGAAAGCGGTGAGGAACAATTAATGCGCTACGAGAGTTCAAAAAATAGAACGTAAAGCGGATATGAAGGCATGGGTTGGGAGGCTGAACAGCGGTTAGCCGACGCTCCCAGGAAGCAGGCCCTGCTCCGCATTAGTAGCTCCAACCGCAGAGACACCAAATCAGAGTCTTTTTACAGTACGATGACCGAGCACGGGCTTACTATTATGTAGTATCTCAATATTACCTATAGAGATCGTGGGTTAACGGACACCAGGTCTCATTGCCGCCAACCAACAGGATTCCAATGGGTTACAAGTTTGATTTTTGTTTCTCCTTTCCTGTGGAATATAGCCCTGAGTAGCGTTCTGCGCCAATACAATGGTAGCATCGGACTGTTCAACAGAAAACCTCGGACGAATGCAACTTAATTCTAAAGTCGGAACACTCCAAGTCTGAACCATTCCGTATGACCAAATAGACTTTAGGTCACTCTGTCTAAGCAGCGTTGGAGAGAAGATAATCGTGACCCCTTTGTCTGACAACTAGAGAGAGATAAAACGAAAAAAAAATGAAAAATGGAAATGTGCACATAGCGAGGGCCGGACCTTGACTTCCTAAATAGGAATGGTTGAGATCGCCTACCCTCCTCTACACATAAAAAGGAAAGACGGTTTATTGAGAAAGTCTGCTTCACGTTCTATGTATTGGTATACTACTACTTTCTTCCGGTCATTTTATCTTAATTCCAGCCTTAGAGCCGGACGTTGCGTTGGTTGAGCTATCAAAATTTTACGGGCGGGAAAAGAAGGGAATAACACCTTTCATAGTAATTGACGCGTGAGAAATAAAGACTATTCCAGCTTGCAGGGGTCACGGTCCTTCCTTGAATAATATGGTTCAGATCAACCACCCTCTATGATCACTGAGAGGGTTTTTGGCATCACAACTAGCTCTACCTGCTCAGCAGGGGAAAATTAAGACATGAGCCCAAAGTCTGCTATTGCATCCTCACCTCCATCCATCTCCCTCACCTTGGCGTACTTTAAGGTCTTCATCTCTCTGTCCTTTGATCCTTTCCATCCGATTTCAACCGATAGGTCATCAATAACTGGCGAATTCTCTTCCTCATCGTAAAGGTAATAAGCCATCCAAACTTTGATCACTTTGGGCTGGCCAATTTTTCCACTGTTGATACTGGAAAAATCCATTCTTGGTATCACTTCTGGCAGGGCATGGGCTATAATGTCGTTTGTCTCCACGCAGGATCGCTCTTGCGTTGTGCGGTTCCCCTGGCAGGAGGGCTCACTTCCATCTGGCACGGCACTCTATTCCGTCTTTAACGTGGGTCGATTCCGAATAGACAATTGCATATACCTTAGATATACCGAAGCACTGGAGAAAAGACCAAAGGTCCATCGTAAGTGGAGACAATTGAGAAATAGACTGTCCGCTGCAACTTGTAAGAACCCTAGAACCATAACTGAGCCAGATGGGAGGTCGGGCCTTAAGTACATCGCTTGGATAAGGGGCCGTCTCATGCGTGCCCAGGATGATGCCGATCCAGTGCACAATCCGAAGTTCGGAGACCACTGGGTGTCTAGACCTTAGGGCCGCCCTTCGATGCAATCTGATCTATACCGTTTCGGGGATGTTACGCGACAGCCCCCCTCAACATCCTGATTCGTGAGTTTGACACACCACTCCCAACCACCATTATGCCCCCTATCACAGCAGAAATTCTATTAGCTGATTTATCAGCACAACTGAATACCCTTCTTTCCTTTCTCAAACTTGATCTCTCTCCCGTTATCTTAGCAGGTCCAGCGGAGTTGGGATGCCATCGCCCTGCCGTGCGGATAGGAAAGGGAACGAACACCTATGCCTGGATACAGCGGCTCCAGGAAATCCACTATTGGACCAACTTGGCCTTATGGGAGCAAGACTGGCTCAAACGGACCGGACGGAATGCGCCCACACCATGTCCAGGTTCTCATCGTCTAGGGACCATGGCTACGTTCATTCAACAGGAAGGATTATCCGACAATCATAACACCAACAAAGCACTCCAGTATGGACGCAGGTTGATGCGATTTGAATCGACGTTAGGAAGCGGATTCTCCCTCCTTCTTATCCCAGTGCTACCAGCCGTTCGCCGCCTCTCCTTGGCTGAAGAGGCTAGGACAGTGGAGATGATACGAGGCAGTGACTTCACCCGCATCAAACATCAGGCGCAAGCTCTGTCTAGGCTGAGGCGCAAGTATCAATGCATCCATGGAAAATCTCCCAGTAAGCTAATACGCATTATTTGTCCATATTCCTGCCTAATTTTTTATCGATAGTAATCTATCCGGCACTCGCAGATCCAGCACGCCATGGGGTGGGCTTGGAGTAGATCCTCATGAAGGCAAATGCTTCGGATGATGATGGTAGATCCGACCCCCATGGGTCTTCCGAAAACCCTTTCCAGACCAGGGAACCTCCAGCTGGCAGTGATATCTCCATTTTAACTGCACCTCGCACAAACAATATCTCCTTCGATCGCAAATCAAAGGACTTCATTGCGCCTCCTAGTCGCGCGAATTCAGTGCTCGACAAGTGGTGGGACGTAGGATAGAGCTTCAAAGTTGCTGATATATCCTCCGGGTTGCTTGAAAGGGCTCGGAAGACTGATATTCCATGTCGAGATGGGTGGGCGGCACCGATCCCCAAATCTGTTGGGTGGTCGGACGAGTGGATAATGATCGGGCCTTGATGGACAAAGAAAGCAGGCTCCCCGATCACTTCTTCGATCATCCTGTATAACTGCCACGAGTGTCAGCTCTGCCTGTACATGTCGCTGTATTGGCAGACATACATCACTCTCCTGGATCCCAAATTTCAAAAGGCTTTCACATGCGTCATGATCCCCTCCCCCATACACCAGATGCCCGTCTACTTGATTTTGTTCCGATCGGAGAGATCTTTCCACTTCCTTAACCATAGCCTCGGGTGGCGAGTCGGCTTGGAGTTTGCTGTATCCCAGAACCTCCATCCTTGACCCTGTTGTTATGTCCCCATATGGCCTTTTTTGTGCCGATGTCATGATTGTGGAACAATGAGACTAACCAAATGAAGTCTAGCTCTAATTTGGCAGCAGGTGTGGTTCTTCTTCCCTTAGGAAGGAGACAAAAACCCAGTGGTAAACCAAGGGCGAATGGAGCCTCTTATACTACCTGGACCGGGCACTGCACTCCGGTATGGGTGCTTATAGTCTCGAATAGGGAAAACAGAGGAGATGGAATGTGGCTTACATATGTAGAAATAAATCGTCCTTTAAGATTAGCAAGCAAACATTTTACTGAATCTGAGCTATCTGCTAACTCGAAACAAGCCCCCTCCTCCTTTATTACAATGCCCAATGGTGGTGGTGGGGAGGGTAAAATTCAACCAGTATATAATTAAATAAGCTGAACTATGTAAAGTCCACTTGGGAATTAAAAAAGTTATAGGCAAGGAATAGCTAAAGACACAGGCGAGTTCTTCAAACGAGCGCCATCGTTCTTCGTGTCTCGCTGTTGTGAATCTGTAAAAAGTCCGCTAAATTGGGCAGATTCGCCTCTCTTGCGTCAGATAGCAACGAGTCGGGGAAAAGGAGGGAATCTTCCACAAAAGCATTGATACATCCAACCTTCTGGATAGCACGACGCTCGACGATATCGACCCCCTCGAGTTTGCACTCCCTGGCGTGGTTGCAAGTTCCCTGGACAACATTATGGGCAATTTTCAGTACCCAGCCCATTTCTGAGTGGTGGGCTGGAACCGATAGACATATGCGCTTCATGACAATTTCAAGAACATAAACACTTTTGTCTGTCTGGCGGGTGGCAGCCTCCATAGCGCAGATCCACCGCTCTCTTTCATCGCAGCTGTGGTACAACAGCCAATTTGTCTCCTTTACTCGATCATGCCGAGCAGTAATTATGAGGGGCGTGTCTAGCCCATCCTGACTTGGTGGCGGCCGGCATTCATGTCGCGAAAGCCAGTTGAATAGAGGTTCCGGATCGGGGTGATGTAAGGCGATCCCATTCCAAGCTGTCAAAGCGTACTCTTTGACTGTAGATGCTAGATTGATCCCCCGACCCAGCATACTGATGGCCAACTCGGCAGTCGCAAATTGACATATAGAGGCACGGCGACAATGATCAAGAGTATCAGACAGTGTAAGCCTTGGGTCCGACTCGACCTTACCCCAGCAAGTATTGAAAAGGTCTTTGTGACTGGCCGCCAATTGAAAGATCGTTTCTGGGCAATACCCAGGCACAATATCGGCAGGTTTAAGAATCTGCTCAGGACTCATCATATGCAGTAGCTCCCGGGCGATATCCATTTTGTTTGCACGGAATGCGAGGGAGAAAAGGCTCTGCCCTGCACAGTTGTAGTAACTCGCATATATGGCTCCGGTACGAATGAGCTCCATGAAACAATCCGAACATTCGCATATGCAAAATGAAACGAGGTCTGTGGGTGGTTGCGCATACTGTAGGTCGTGACGCGAGGGAAAAGCGTGTTCGTAATCAGTATACAACCCCCAATGTATCAATAGGAGCTCGCGCGACCACTGCAAAAATTTCGTAATTCCGTGCCTCAATTCATCCGCTATCAGATTTTGTTGTTGCAGGGATCTCAGGAGATGTAATGCCTTGTGTGACTCAAAAGGCTGTTGAACGAGGAGTTTCTGGTATATTCCACTGAGCAAGTCGTAGTCCAAGACATTGAACTCTTGGAAGGAACCGTCTTGAACAGCCAGGAGGAATTTATCAATATCGCGGTTGTCCATGTTGCCAAATGCCTCAATCAACAATACTTGCTGAGAAATGAGAACATGTATACCCGAGAACGCAGGGTTATTATAGTCTCCATTGATCTCCGGCCCAGCTTTTGTCATCTTCGGTCATCCAATATTATTTGAAACTCTTGTGCCAGGCCATTTTCTGATGCGACTGGCCTTCCCCCTCCTTCCTTGTGACAGCCTACGGCAGTCTACCCGATTCGGAAAAGGCATTTACGAGCCGGGGTAAGATCCGGCTAACTACTAGGCTGACTAGTTTATAGCTGATGAATCAGTTGGGGTAGAGTAACTGAGGGTCCAAAGTATCCTCTACGTTCAAAGCTGTCCTGAGACGTTGAAAAATTCTTAGGTAGAGAGCTCGTCACCTTCACTAAACTACCGAGTAATGAAGACCTGGGTACTGCTAGAACTGATCATAGCCGGATTAATGTATTTCAAGTAGGCGTACACATGAATTATGACACTATATCAACAAAAAGATGAAGGCGCGTGAAGGGAATAACCCAGACCATTCCACGAGAACAGCGCGCTTGGAAAGAGTCGGATAGTAATGATTACTGCACGTCAATCAGAGCCTGCAAAATGCAAGAGAAAAGACATGCACCCTTGGGCGTTATCTTCATACCGACATGTCCTCCTCCTACGGGTGCTTCTGTAGAGCTATCGCCGTTTTGTGATCCTCGCGCATCCATGGATATGAGAGTTGAATCCACTTCATAAAGCTCTTCGGGCCCCTCTTGACGCGTTTGGCACCCTTATCCTTAATGAAGCGATAGAACTTGTGCTTCATGCCCTGGGTTCCGAGGCGCTGGCGGTAAGGGAATTGGCGGTTGAAACCCTCCAGGACCGTTTCCCAGTCCTGGGACAGATCAATGTAGTGATACCAGACGAAGTGCATCTCCTCGTTATTGTAATTGCACCCTGGAACATGGCGTGGGTCGGTACCGTTATTACCAGAGTCCTGGACAAAACGGTACGGCTTTGGTGATGATCCCATGGATGTGGGGTGATGCGACTGCCTCGGACCGTCTTGACACTGTTGCTGGCTACCACTTGCACTGTGAAAGCCAGTCCATTTATTGTCAATAGACACTGGCCTAGGGCTGGTGTTATAGTAGATCTGATGCTTCCCGTAGGAGTACTGGTTTGAGGATACCTGGGAGTCTGAATGTGCGTTACCGATACTGTAATCGATGCCGCCGGGGTTCAGCAATGAGTCGATTTTCATGCGGCTTTTTTCTGTTCGAGTGTCCATTTTTGGTGGTAGTTGAAGGAGCTGTTGGGTTGGAATAGGCTCTACCGATTTTCCTAATGGATGATAGAGTATGAAACAGGAGTAAAATTGGTCTGAAGCAGAATAGTCGGGGATCCGAGGGAGTAGGTCATAAAGCCTAGGTGATTTCGTCGGACCTTATCGCTTTCCTTAGGAGTCCGCACCATGCAGTCTGTGAGACACTTTATAGCCAATATCAGAGCCTCATGCGTCAAAAGCTCTTTCGAATTTTGCAAGGCCGTCATACTGCCGATTGAAAATCTGGGCGTCCTTTGACCAAGTCAAGAGGGTGACTTTCCCATTCGTGATTGCCGTTCGGGTACTTCATGCACACCCAGATAGTACGCCTCTCTCCTTTGTCCTGGCACTTGCCAATGTAAACAATTTCGCTTACCGGATGCACTGACTCGTTCGTTGTCGCCGACGTGTCGAGGCCGCCACGATAGCAACTTTGGTTTTCTGCTAACTGTGAAACCCTCTGGATGCGCAAAAATGAACGTAACTTTTGAACAGGCATTCGGCTTATACACATGGTTCGTGATAACTAGCTGTTGTGGGCCCCTTTTCATGATTGTTCGACTGTGTACAGGCAGATGCAGGCACTATTTATATTCTGGGGGAACCTATCATTCTGTTTACATCGTGGAATGCTTCGTTACCTATCTGAATTGGTACGTTATTGACTAGTTAAACTTACTCAAATCTCGCTGCAAAAAGGTTTGGTCTGGAGTGCCGTGACCAACCATCCCAAACCAAATCCTGGCACAAGGACGGGAGAGTCAGAACGTCAAAATGTTGTCTCCATCAACTCCAGGCTCTTCGCTCCTGATTATTCTTCGGGGAGATGGTTATAAGATAGGCGCACCGGTAGGGCTAGACAGCTTAGCGATAAGTATCAGCACATCGATAGCTACGGACAGGTCACATACTCAACGACCAAAGCGTCGCAATATCCAGTGAACGAGGGTGTAGGCTACGTCGAAATGAATAGTTAGGTTAATACCAAGGCTTGTGATAGGATTCTCCCACCTTGTCTCCACAAGAGCACACCGTACATTGCATACACAATGAGAGAAGCCCAGAGGATCAGCAACACCATAAACAATGTGCCCACATTTTCAATATATAGTGCGGTTGACTGAGGCTGGGATACAATCATCATTCCGTTTTCAAGTAGAATATTGTGCCTCGGGATGAGTAGATACTGGCTGATATTAAGATGGCATGGCTAGTTATGTAGTAGTCTCTAGGGGCCTAGACTTCGGATGATAATGGGTAGTATGCCTCGTATATGCGACCTAGGTCGATCTATGCTGCCGCTTTCTTGCTGTTCCTGCAGAGGCTAATCAAATCTCTGTCTGTGTTGAAACTAACCAAAAGTTCATGAAATCTAGCCCGTAGATTTTTGGTAACTTGAATCCCTCTGCTGATAATCTACCGCCACATCATATAGTCAGATAATAGAAGCAGGGTGATAGTATAACCCTCTTCATCGTAAGTCTTTTGTTGGCTGTCATATCATCTTGCTGAGTATTACAAATTGCGTATCTTGATTTGTATTCGGGAGCGAGCGGTCCTATTGCTTTTAGCCTAGGCCCTAACTCTCACTTCGAAGTAAAATTTGTCTGTTTCAACTCCAAGTTTACGCTCCAGATACTACCATTCCTGACCCCTTGGAAGAGCCTTTGCAATTTATCTAAGCTCCTTCTTCCTTGTTGATCTCCTCCCTTTTTCCCTCCTCAACCTTAGTAGCTTTCTTGCATATAAATCGTTCTAACAATTCAGCATTGGCCTCGACGGCGGCGGACTGCATGCTCCGGCCCTGTAATCTTTCAGGAAGGTAGTAAGGGTCATCGCTTGCTGGAGTTCGTTCAAAGCGATTCAAGCTGGCTAGGCTGACACGGGGAAGTTGGTTGACCCTCTTCGCAATCAGATCATGAGATTGAGCGCTATCCATACTGCAGGAGCGACTAAGCTCGTAATGTTAGCCCTTGAGTACATGGTCTCTTGAAGATTAGTTACCAGGAAGGAATAGCCCAGCGCTATACACAGCAGAAGTATCTTTGGTATGCTGAGTCTGGACGTAAACATGTGCAAAGAAAGGTGTGATCATTCTCAAGAGGTTGGACAGATGGGGCCGCGACATTTATGATGTTTGAATCAGAGAGAGTGTACCGTAAGCGGGCGCCAGTATACATGTGACTACAGCTTTGTCAATAATTGTCGTTATGTATGACAACTCTAGTTATTATTCGCTGGTAGATGACAGAAGATATCTCTGGGAACACCTGCAGGAGTACAACATCTTTGGCATAGGACGTTTCTGAAGGAGACCTGAGATCAAGGTGCTAGCTATCTCTTAGAACTAATGTCCTATCTTTGTTAACTTGATATTTCCCTTCCAAATAACGCCACTCATCTTCCCCTATTAAAAGATCCTTTGCATCGTTAACCTTATCTCGAGCTTCTTGCAGTTCCGCATCCGATAGATATTTTCCAGAAATGAATGACCCTCCATGAACATAGCCCCCTGAGCCGTCCTTGTATTTGACATGGAAAACGATACAGCCTGTGTGATCACCCCAAATTACGCCCATGTATTTCTCGAACCGGTCAATCTTATTGAGACGATACCCAGTCAATTCTGTGCTAGAACCATATGCCATGATCTTTATTCTCAGCATTTCCGGAGTTTAGCGCCAGATGATGACCACTTATATGCTTACCAGGTTTCAGTCTTCGAATATTTTCACTTGATTTCGGAGGCGTGGCTATTCTTGAGGGAGCCCTCAAGAGGGGTTTGGCCCAGGATGGATCCGGAAGTTCAACAATGGTATCGCTCAAGGGGGAGCTGTCTGGCGTACAAGTGGCAGACTGATTGGCAATATCTAAAGGAAAAGGTCTTTAGTATACCATGCCGCTCATGCCAATAGAATGATTGTAGAATTTGGAAGTTACCATGAGGTGATGCGAGGTCAGGAATATAAGCTCTTTCATTCTCTTGCCGAAGCCCGGACAAAGCTGCAGGACTTTTCGCAATTGGAGGCATCATACTGTATGTTGCATTATCGGAACAGGTGTATAGAGTCGTAGTATGAGACGCCACAGGATCAGGAGGCCTCTCCGTCTCTTCTACGCCTTCTTCTTCCCCTCCCCAAATGGATGAAGGATTGTGTGGCAGGCGTAATACGGACTGGATACAGCCTGGAAGCAGCGATAGGAGCGAAACGGCAGAAAAGCAGTTCATGGAGGGCTTTCGACAGAGAGCTCTAGAACTAAACGAGAATGGAATAGAGCTCGGGATAAAGCATTTCTGAATGCCAACATGTTTATCATATATGTTTAATCAATAATTTCTTTGCAGGTTTCATTATCATGTAGTTCTCACAGGTTAGCCACCACCGGTACTAACCACGCCTGAGGATGTCTCTGACAGACCAGTTAGTCGATGTGAGAGTGAAGGGAGGGGTGAAAGGACAGATAGCACCGCAAGGAACGCGTGACCTTGGTGATCATGTGGTCGAGCTATCATGGATGTTTAGCATTTCGATGAATATGCGCTATGCTGTTGTAGGATAATCTCTTTGGCACCAAAGGGATTTGCCAAATTTGGGATAGTCAGGTGGATCGGCGGCTGTGGGCAGGTTGTCAACAAGCCGCTTTGACGCGTCTTCCGTCCCATACCTTGCGATTCTAGTTGATTGCACTTGGGCCGCGTAAGCTATTTAAAGGCGGCAACCCCTATCTTTGGTTCCGACAGACCGAAGTCATCCAACGTCACAGTGAATTGAAGCATCAAAGCAACTGGGTATTAACCTCATACTTCACAATTCAGAGAATTTGCTAACGATGAAATAGCAAGATGTGCTGGCAGAGATGGAGAACCCCCGCCAGATATCCAGATGGCAAAGGAAAGAGCGAGGGGACTTGTACCCAGTTCGATCCCACACACGATCATATCAAGCGGTGTAAGCCGGCCTAGGAGAGAGGCATCATTTGCAATCCCGTGACTCCAACATCACAAGCGAGTTCCACCAAGCGCGGTCAGGACTGCCCAGCACATCGTAAGGACTGATCCAATGATAATGGTGATGGCATCGTGAACCAAGCTGCGGGAGGATAAGGCTCCCAGAAAAAAAGGGGAAGAGGTGGATGGGATCACGTGATCGGGAGAATGTACTTAAAAATCCGTACCGGCTCCTTAATTCTTGATCAGTGTGATCCAGTCCGAGTGGGATTTTTTTTCCTTTCACTATGTCTTCCCCCTTTCTCACTATCCGAGGAGATCAGATTCCCCAGGAGCAAGTTCTTGGAAGCGGAGGCACTGCAGTAGTTCTGCTTGAAAATGAAGTGGCCGTCAAAGTTCCGTTAAAATATTTTTGGAGCTCAGATTCCGACGTCAGAGCGAACACCAAAAGCCTTAGACGTGAGCAAGACGTGTACCGTCGCTTGCAATGCCCTGATGATGAACGTTCAGGGGGTGTTGTCCGCTGTATTGGGTTTTCAAGCGAAGCTACACAACTTGCTTATATGACCAACGGGGACCTTCGGACTTATCTGGCAAAATGCCGGCCTTCTCAGCAGCTGCAGCTCACATGGTTCCGCGAGATGGCTAGCACACTTAGTTTTATCCATGACAGGCGCGTGCTCGTCGCAGACATCGCCTGCCGAAATTTCCTCCTTGATTCAGATTTATCTCTTAAAATCTGCGATTTCTCAGAAGCCTCCCTCTTTCCATTGGACTCTGATATGGACGCTGCGGATGATAATGGCTTCACTACACGAGTTGACATTGGTCTTCTTGGAGCGGTCATGTATGAAGTCGTGACTGGCAACAAGTGCGAGGTCGACCTTTTCAAGGACAACTCTCATACTGACGGCCGAGCTCATTGGCCAGAAAGAGAGTCCCTTCCAAGTACACAGGATATCTGGCTTGGTGAAATTATTGAAGGATGCTGGGATGGAAGGTTTCGCAGCGCGCGCAGTCTCCTGCGAGCGTTGAGTTCCGTCGCTTTACCCTTCTCATCTGCGGTCGCTCAGCCTCGCATCACTCAGCTCCTGGTCAATATCAGGAACGTGATGAACTGTTGGCCCTTTGCGGCTATTATCGGTGGCCTGGGTTTGGCAGCCTTTGCTCTGGTCGTACGTAAAAAAGCACTCTTGATGTCACGGGATTGCCGTCTTTTATTATGATATCCTGTATTTCTATTTCTCAAACCTCGCCCTTGTCCCGCTTCCCACGATCTACACAGTCACGGAGCGTTTGAAAGTACACTGATTCGTTGAGCATTGTTTGACAGGCTCTGGTCATGATAATATCCACAGCTCACTGACTGGAATCCCCTCCATATTTGCCGAGCCAGAAGATAAGTCGGATGGTGAGTAGAATATCAGGCAAGGATTGTGGCAAATCTAATTCCGATGTTGATGATATTGAAGCGAAATTGTCCGGAAAAAGGTGGGGTGATGGCACGTGATTTAATGCCCAATGTCGTTGACACCTTAACGCGCTACCTCTTGCCCCCTCCCTCATCGCATTTGTCGTCAACTTGCCAACGGCTTGGATGGAACACCGTACCCCATATATCTCTTACTTTGTGTGGCAAAGGTATGTCGGTTGCTATTGATTCGAGGAGTGATTATTATGTTGTTGACTCATTAGGCAACTCCTTCCTTATATGAGCGCGATAAACCCCAGCGCCTGCCAGAATGAATCCGCAGGAACTTCCACCCCTCGCCAACGATATTCGCCTCGAAATAAAAGCCATGATTCCGGAATTATCAGGTCAAACAGTTAGAAATCCTGCGGAGCTCCTCAAGACAGAGAAGAACGGGAACAAGACATATGGAGGGGCCTTACTTGCGAAGTCAATCTCTCTTCTTTCAGGACAATTGCCTATCCCAGATCCAGAAGTACGTATACGAGCCTTCTTACATGCAGATGTGAGGTTAATTGTCAAGTAGAACTGGGGTTGGCGTTTGCTATACTTCGCAGTCCCCACGACCGTTGGGAATGAACGAAAAAGAGGGTTTTTGATTCCACTATCTGCGAACACATTACGCGAAGGAACGTTGACGGAAGGGTTTTATATCGAAACTACGACTGATCCGGAGGTTAACTCGGAAACAGCGGCTATATTTTTTGTACCCAAGTGACATCACAGGGGATATTCATGTATCAAATTTGAACATCAGTGGATGACAACCATGCATACTAAATAGACTGCTCTCACGCTGCGGATACAGGTTGAGTCAAAGCCCCGTGAGACGGATTCTGGTAAGGCATGAACTGGCTTCGTATCGTCTGTGGCGCGAATAAGTGACCCCTCTGGGTCAGCAGCTGTCTTCCCCCTGCCCTGGGCGCTTGCATCGATGGCGATGATTGTGTCATGCCAGCGCATTCCACATTGAGGCTTCTGGTTTGCCCACCTGGTGTAGTAAAGTCTCGCACCGGTAAAATTTGTTGACCGATGTTGTGAACATCTACCGTGTTGGCAACGCTTGTTTGGGGCTCCACTTCTAGTAGGCCACAAATTTGCGCCGGCAATATGGGTTGAAGCATGTCGTGTACGTTGATCAAGTTCGTTAAGTCAGGCATATCGCCACACGTCTGCTCATCAAACGAAGCAAAGACATGGGCTGGCAATATGGGTTGAATCATGTCGTGGACATTTACCGTGTTGACCATATTTATTGGGGGTTGTTCATGACCCAGGCCATAATTTTGCAGCGACAAAATTGGCTGGAGCATATCGTGCACATTAAGTATGTTCCTTAAGCTGGAAGACGTTTGTCCATTATGAGTGCCATCTTCATCAAAAATATTATCTGTGTTGCTGTTGTATGAATGGCTTGGAGCCTCCTGCCGCCTCCCTGGAGTAAGTGTTGGCGACATAATGGTGGGAATTGCAGGATTGCCAGCCACACCCAGCTGAGACCGCGGCTCCGAACGATTGTTCTGAACATTATCGGAGGTACTGGAGGGTCCGTCACTTGACACCGATATGTCTTGCTGCAGCACTTCTCTCGAGTGTTGCTCTCCTGCCCGGAAGTATCGCGTATGTTGAAGGTTGAGCCCTATTGAAGGACTGGTTATTTGAGATCCAAACAACAAAAAGCAATATTTTCTCACCTAAAGTTGACTCTGGGGATTGAATAAAGGTATTACCAATCGATGGCTCAACCTTGGACCATAGAACATCGAATACTTTGGCTGCTAGACTGTCCAGGATATTCCTACCCTCTAGGTTTAAGATCCCGAGGTTTTTGAAAAGCTGGATTTGTTGATCCCGATCTGGTCCTGAGAGGTTCAAGACTCTTATTCTTGGAATTTGTCAGCGACATCCCCAAGGTAGATAGATCCTGGAACGTACGACTCATCATGGTAATTTTCGGGCAAACAAAAAAGATTGCCCAAATGATAGTTCTCATAGGACGCGGAGGCCCCAATACCTCGACAAAATCCATCAATTCTGTGGCCTAAGTCTATCCATCGACTGATCTTAGCCTTCATGGTATCCAAGTCACAATTGATGAAGCCTGAGTCTGATACAATCATTGCCACAGAATCGATATCATTTGAGCGTAAGTAGTGCTGGCCCAATTCTTCCTTTAACCGATGAAATACGACTTTTAAAAAGCGAGATCGGATTTTGTCGACAACCCCCCGGCAGTTCAACTGCTCCACGTATCGATATAGCTGGGCGACTGGCGATATTTGTAGATCCAGCTTAATGCCATCATCCTCTCGAAAGAGCGACAGAGGGTCCTGTGTCCACTTCGGTATATGATGCATCAAAGTCTGCGAGGGCACTATCTTCTGCATATCTGGTTTTGGAGGTATAACTCGGGAGCGCTTATGGCTTGTCTTCTGTGACCGCCGTGCGATGCTTCGTCTAGTTTTCCCGGGAATATGTGCCCATAGTTCCCGGAGAGAGCGTACAAACTGTCTGATGTTAGCTTACGCAGCGATGCTACTGGGCCAACACACCTCTGGCTTGGAAAGTAAGGCATCGACGTCGACTTTTCCGGTTCCTTCAGCATTGCGGCCGGCTTCAGAAAGGGCGTCGACTATCACTTTGCTGTCAGATAAACGCATGGTAGTAAGTGAACACGTAAATAGGAATCGTTCGCATTGCGAGGAAGAGGTCTCCAGGATTTGCTGGGAGAAGTCAGGAGGCGATCACGTGTATCAATACGACATGCGGCAGCCACTCAGGCCAAAACCCTTTGTTTCGAGCCGACACCTCGTAATTCGTAATATGCATACCTCCTGCATGTGCGACACTTCACCAAGTTGTGATGGGGGCCACTTACCAATCATCCACAAGGCACGGGCCGTAATTGAAGAGCTTCTAGACTGGGCTGCAAGCTTGGTCGACTGTGATTGGTGGATACCAAGCCTAGTGGGATCAAATGATGCACTATGGTCCAGTCCAGACACGCAGATCTTGACTCCACGTCTCCACATCGAGCGGAAATCGCGCATTTGTGATTCTCTGTGCATTCGCTGTGTGCTCGTACATGCCACTAGCGGTTCCGTATATCCAATGACATCCGTGCCCGCCGGCCTACCGGCCACCGCTTCATGTGGATATGTTCCTTGGACAGCCTGGAAACTGTGCGGCAGTGAGGATCCAGCCTCTTAGTTGTGCGATGCGCTACGGAGATCAGCCTTAATTGGTCTTACGATGTGTATGATGCCATTAGCCTACTACATAAATGTATATAGGTGCCAACCATTTTTCTCGCTTCATTCTAGTTAGCACACTGCCAACGAGTCATCCGCCGGACAGATGGCCTGCCGGCCTCTGCGGCGCTCCTCCGCAATAACGTTTCAGCCACACCATCATGCTTTGATAACTGACCTGGCTCACTCTACGTCCAAACATTCAGTTCTGGATCAAGCACCTGGAGGCTCACAATGTCGCTGGACAATGTGGGAGGCATTTTCTTGGCTTTCATCGACCCCCATTGTGTCGTCCAACCAGCCAGAGGGTTTTGTATATAAGCGCCCATGACTCACGGCCTTCAACGTGCATGTCACTGGCGACAGTCTGTTATTGTGGGCTGAGCCTTGTCCATTTCATCTTGCCGCCTTCTTCTACACTGGGACGTAATAAGTATGAATCCAGCTGGCGGTCATTAGGTGATAGCTGTCTGGTAACCAACATGGTTGCATCCTTTCACTGGCGGCAGTAACAATTCCGCAGTCACATAACCTCCATCTGTCTACCTGTGAGAACTCTAGTTCCTCGTCGGCGGAGGCGAATTGCACAAACATATCTTTCCACCCGCCTGTCTGACAGCTTCCTGCAATCTTTGACCTTCGTGCTTCCCACAGGTTCGTAGAGAGAACCAATGGAACGTCGGCAAGACTTACCTCGCAGGAGGCTGAGTCAGTTCGAGGAACTTCTGGTGTTTTTCTCATACGGAGAATCAGCCTAGCGCTAATGCATAAACTTTCACATCATTATCTAGATCGGCGGTTATGTTGGCTGTCGAGTCACACCCAGTTGCAGCTCCGCTTGGTTCGACCCTGGCTAACCATATCAGTCTCTGTGCCCTAGCACAAGTAAGATCCAGTAGCTTGGCAGCGCGTGTTGCAATTCTAATAGAACGTGGGGTACTGGATTTGCGAAGCAAGCTTCTAGCCAGTTATTAGCTGTCAAATCTATTACGGGCGATGGTAAACAAAAGCGAGCAATGACCGGCACGGCCTCATTGAGCAAAGAAAGTTTCATGAAAAGCGCTTGACAGTATGGTGTGCGACACGTGCAAAATTGAGTGAATGGACGAAACGACATGACAAGACTTGGCTCAAAAACCACTCCCAGTAGTTACCAACAAGCATTTACGATCAAACAGAATCTATTCAATATGACCGAATGAGTGCACTATTGTAACGGAAAACTTAAAAACAAAATAGTTGCGCTTGGGAAGGGAATATAGCTACGAGCGTCACCGCTACGGATTGAGACTCCATTCATGCGATAGAATCTGTCGAATATATGATGGGCTAGTCTGGCCAGCTGTCTACTAGTTACAATACTGCTGTTGCATATCTAACTGAGCCCGAGATTCTTTGAATGAGAATCCAGTGTAACCACGATGGCGAATTATTAGTTATACCCTTAACTGCTTATAAGCGGTTTCTGTTGCTTGCTTAGATTGACTTCTTGGAGTAAATATCTGTTCACAAATTGAAATATATGTAAAGAACAACCAGGATGCGACTGTCTACTTATATGAATACGCTAATTTGAACCGATGTTATGGCCTATGCGGCCCCGGGAGCTCCTACATGGCTTTTGGACCTCAACCTATCCCCTGAGACATATTTCCTAGAATCGCCACTGACGTTCCCGCGAGTGGTTCTCTCGGGCCCTGGGAATTCATAAGCTCCTGGGAGCCTCCCGTTCGCCTCTAGAGATGCATAGAATAGCACGTTAGTCTGAATCAGAGAGCTAGGCTGATGCATCAAAAACTGAACATGCGATATAAAAACGACCATTCCTTCCACCGATACGTTTTCAGGTCTATTTGAGTCCATTTAAAATCTTGACGTTTGTCCTTGATATGCGATTGATATCTAAGCAAACGACGCTCAGTCTCGGATCCAGGACCCCAAGATGCTGTTTCGGCTTCCCTCAGAAATCCTTCTCTACCTTGCAGATTTCTTGCATTCATCACGGGATTTGCTTGGGATGGCACTTGTGAATAGATTTTCGAGAGACGTCTTCCTCCCGTGTCTCTACGCCTTCAATGTTCGCCATCAGCGTAGCTCTGCCTTGACCTGGTCCGCTCAACACAACCAAATCGGTCTGGCGAACCGAATGCTAAAGGAACGTCGAGGCAATGCCAACACGACAGATGATAGATCCCGCACCCCTATTTTTCACGCCATTCAAATCGGAAGTGAAGAAATGATCCGAACTCTTCTGGAAAGCGCGGCAGATATCAACTGGCAAGATGACCAAAAGCAAACCCCTCTGCTGTACGCTCTACAGCGAGGACACCTATCCATGGCGCGCATTTTATTGCGATATTTCAATCCATCAGTGGATTGTGAAGATTACAAGGGTCGAAATGCCATCTGGTATGCGGTCGCCAATTGCGATGAGGATTTGGTACGACTGCTCCTGGAACTCCAAAGCGACATATGGATGATGGACTGCCGACAGACCACCCCTCTCAACCTGGCGATTTCCAAACGGAATTTGCCGATCACCCAAATGCTGCTTCATCATTCAAAAGTTCATCCTTCACAACCTCGACTGGTGGATATGAATGCCAGAGACAACCCGCTTTGCTTAGCCGTCGACGCTGGTCTGAAAGAAATCGCTCAAGCTCTGATTAACTATGGTGCAGATCTCCATGTCACGGACAGATACGGCCAGCCCTTGTTGCACCAAGCCGCCAGCAACGGGCATGACGACGTCATCCAACTGTTGCTGAGCCATGGAGTCGATGTCAATAGTACCGACCCAGGGGGCCACACAGCACTGCATTTTGCTGCATTTCATGGGCACAAGTCAACCACAAAGCTACTTTTGAGCACGCCTGGAATTGATATTGCTGCTTCTGACGGCGAAGGAGCTACAGCTCTCTGTGCGGCCGCTCGTGGGAACCACCGATCCGTCGCATTGCAGATCTTGGCCGAGGAGCCAGCCAATGTCAACGCACGCTGCCTTGGCCAAAAGACTGCTCTTCACTTTGCGGTTGAAAATAGAAACTTTCTCCTCGCTTGTCTGCTTGTGGACTTGGATTCACTGGACCCGAACATCTGCGATGACCAGGGGTGGACAGCCCTCAGCTACGCGGCAGGTCAGGGCGATCTGCGGATGTTGGAGCTCCTCCTGACTAGGACCGACCTAGATTTGAATGTGTCGCGAGCATCTCCCATTTATCTTGCTGCCGAAAGGGGACATCTGGAAGTTGTCCGCCGACTTGTCTCCTTTGAAGAGGTTGACATCAATCAGACTGTCTGGCACAAGTCTCCTCTATTTATCGCGATCGAAAACGGCTACCGTGGTGTTGCAAAGCTGCTTCTTGAACAAGGGTCTCGACTGGATGTTAATGCAAAGACCTCTCTTGGGGACACCGCACTGCACATGGCCGTCTCTTATGGGAATCTGGACATTGTGGAGCTACTGCTCAAAGACGATCGACTAGATGTCACGGGCATTAATCGATATGGAGAGTCAGCCCTGGAGCTGGCAGCCCGTAATGGGAAGGAGCACGTTGTCAGGCGTCTTTGCCGCGACCGCCGAGCAAGAAATGTTCGCCACTTCCGGAGTGCCATGGAAGCAGCATCGAATATCCGGATTCTTTATTTTCTTCAGGGGCAGTTGATGAGACATGGCGTGGAACACGGTGTCCGTCGGTCAGATCGACTTGCCAGAGGATCGTCCCAGCTCGCGGAGTCTAGCACATCGCCATCGCTTCGCCGGTCAACACGCATGTCACAATCGTATCTTAACAGCTCTTAGATAACATCTTACAGTCAATATGGAGTTTCGATAATTTGAACAGGTTTTGCAGAGGATCTTCCGTAGGTCAATCATGATCCCGTGCAAAATGCGATTACTAGGCAATGTTCGTATGAATTAGATACGTGAAAGATCAACCGTGATCCGTTGATGTGTTAATGTGTTAATGTGTTAATGTGTTGATGTGTTGATGTTGATGTTGATGTTGATGTTGATGTTGATGTTGATGTTGATGTTGATGTTGATGTTGATGTTCATGTTAAACGTTTCAACATGCTTTGCTAAACCTGGGCATTCTGACGTTATAACTTTCGACTTTACCACATACTTTGTTTAGATTCAATCCCAACGCTCACCAGTGCTAGTTAACAGGGAATCGTTGGTCAATGGAGATGACCCAGATATCAAAACATTGTATACCAATCTAGGTGTTATGACATCAAGAGGAAAAAAGAGTGGCTTCATGACTCTAGGTAAAGGCACTTTTACTACGTCGAAAGTAACAATCTATCATCCCTGACCGTCTGATCTAGACTCTCGATCATATAAAGGGCTTCCCCAGTCTCCAGTCGCTCATACTACGCCTCCTTGTTAATTTCTGGGAAGA